TTTATATGCACACCTAACCTTAGCTGTCTGCAAAGGGACTGACAGTGTGTTTAAACAGAGGAGGTGGAGCCATTATTCTGCTGAGAACTATTTCACTATATAAGAATTTCAGATATGGAGATTAAAAAAAAAAGTCATATTTTGACCTACCTCTTTTWAAAATTATTGTTATTATTATTATTTTCTGGCTAGCTTGAAGTGTCTGTTTTGTACAGCAGTTTTCTCACCTTGCTGCTTGAGCCTTTGCTCTCCTAATGTGATCCTGTCTTGCTCTGCAGATGCCMCGCAGTACAGTTGGGTCAGATTTACATGAAAAGTTGGGGAGACCAGAATGACAAAGACAGCAGAACAGAGCCTTGTAGATCCTCCCAGGTCYAGACCTTTGCAAGGGGAAGGAGTTGGCAGACATCCCATCTGGAGTATGAATGTCTGGCACATTCATGAATTGAGGGCAGGATTTCTAGAGCAACTTTCTTACCTCTCTCAGCCACTCATTCCTTGCTCAGAGGTGTTTGCTTACAGTTCAAGAAGAGATGAAGACAAGTCAGAACAGCCCATCCTGCTACTTAATGCCATTTACACAGARCTTCGGGGCCATTAGTTTTTAGTCTGTATTATTTCAGCCTGTGCATCCCATTTATTGAATGCATTTGGGTTTATATCAGTAAGCTTGGTTACATGAGCTAGGTCAATCTTTCTCCTTTCAAGTGAAGCAAACCAAACAAAAATCCTTATTAATATTGAATGTTGTAGTTGATAAATRTTTCTAAAATTTAATTCATGTTTCAGGACCTGTTAGTTCTTATTTGTAATGGGAAAAAGAAAGATGTAATAAAAAGAAATGTAAAAAGTAAAACAATGGTACAATTAGGGGAGGAGAATGTATTTCCTCCAGGTGTGATAAGATTTTTGGAAGAGAAYGTATGGCTGCATGTGGCAATTCCTTATTTTAAATTTGCTTAAGGGTGAAAACAATATTGAAAATCTTAAATAGAATAACAAAATGTTTTGAAAGAAAAGTTTCCAGTACTTATAGAAAAATATGAAAAGAAATCAAAGCTTTTTTTTTTAAAAAAAAACCTTTTTTGTTAAATTGCTACCAACTGTATATTATCTGAACATTCTGCTTTCAGGACCCTTTTTTTCCTGCCAAGTGTTTGTTCTTCGCAGGGTCATGAAGCAGATGTCTACACTTAAACTGAATTTCTTAACTCCAACCTTATATTGTTGTGGAAAATGTTGTCTTGGTTTGTTCTCAGCAAGAGCCTGTTGACAGCTCAGAGCACACAAGTTTATTGTCACTAAGGCCCAGTCCCAAATCTCTTGCTCAAACAGGACAAGTTCTTTAGCAATAGTTCTATAGACAGTCATTAGTGGAGAGGTTGCCTCATAAATTTGGCTCAATAGTCAAGTGTGAGCACAGAGTAAAAGGGGCAGATTGTATCCAAATGCCACATCTCCTACACTATGGACAAGAGAGTCTTCCTCAGGCAAAAGATTTTCTGCAGGGTCTAGGACATTCATTACCCTACTATGAACCCCTATATACCCTACTATAAAACCCCTTCTATAGTCATGGCTCACTTCTTTTACATAGGTCTCCCAGGTGAGTCCTACCAATAAGAGGAAAATGTCTTTTTATAGCAGAAGGAGAGATGGACAGAGGTTGAGAGGTAAAATCTCAGGTTTTGGCTAGGAATCCCTCTGCTTATATTAATACTGTAAAAACAATCCCTTTCAAAAAAAAAAAAAAAAACAAAAAACAAACCTGTAGGACTTCCTGAAAATCTGCCATGAATCACCCTGTTGAGGTATGTATCCTGAAGGGGGAAATAGCAAGTTACAGCTTTGCTGACTACATCACTTCAAGCCCCAGGCAAGCTTGTAATGTTGGGTTTTGGTTGCCAAAAAACAGTGTGCTAAATAGCTACGTATGAGAAGCCTCGTTAAGCACTGCAAGGAGTGTTTTCTAGCTAACATGAGGTTAAATGTAAATGTGTGATGGGGTCATTTTTAAACTGTTGTAATCTTCCAAGTCATGACTGCCTTTGCTTCTGCAGGTCATGTCATCAGAGATGTCATCAGACCAAATGATGGCCTTTCTGTTTGGGGGATGGCTGCTGCAGGCCAAGGCTGGTCACTGTGGTGTTCATCATCACCAGGTTGGGTGATCCAGCCACTCCAGACCCCACCAGTCCAAAGCTCCTGCCATGGGCATGATCTCCCAAAGTGTATTATGAGGATCCTAAACACAAAACAACTGCTATTAAAGAAAAGTTACACAAAGCTTAGATGTGTTCTCATTAGCAAAACTGGATTAGAATCAAATAAAATCCCTTGCCAAGCTGTAGAATTGATTGCCCTTATTTCCAGGGTGGATGACCATGCTACCAACACTGGAAGAGATCTTCTAAATGCAGAAGAGATAGCAGGACTCTGTTTTGTCCATCATACACAGAAAGACATCCTTGTCAACTAGCTGCCGTGTGGCAGAAATGGCAGACTTGCCATGGTCTCTTAACGGGTAGGAATGGTCAGAATATAACTTTTGGGGGAGCCTCCTAAGGAACCTCCTTTTCCAGCRCCCTTTCCTCAATGAGATGAATTGATCTGATACTGTCTTGTGCAATTTAGCACCAAATGTAGTTCCATATTTAAATATCTATCTGAGGAGAAATTGGGAAGACTCACAGAAGGTYCTGAGCAGTAGTGACCAAAAGCATGAAATTAATTCCCACAGCAACTCTTTGATAGCTTTTATAGGGTTGTTTTAGTAATTATGGACAGTGTAGTGGTTGGGCTGTATCAACTCTTCTTATTTTTTTTCTACTTATTAAAATACTGTCTGTCCTGAACACGAGTATCTGGAGGGTGGTAAATTGTTTAAAGGTGTGGTAAGATCAAAAGATTACCTTTGTGTTTGTGAGTATCTGACAGATAGCATTTATTATTCCAGGTGCAATGTTGAAATCTGTTGAGAGGAATTTTAGGTATTAATATGGTCAGTATGCTAGTAATGTAAGTAAATGTTATCACCCATGGTTTTTACATTTCTCATGATAAAGCCTATAAAAATAAATAGAATTGCTGCTCAACGACTGCTGAAAGCTTRCTTCTGTATATTTGCCAAACACCATTTACCTGTATATTAGATTTAAATTAAGATGCTTGTATAACTTCTGCTGACAGTCTTTAATGTGCTGTATGTTTACATGATTGAAAGCAGGTTACATTGTTTAGAATCTTATTTGTGATCATAAAGATGCGCAAAATTTTTGTATTTGTGTCTAAGATCTGAAAACTTTTGACAAGCCCTAATTCATCTCTAAAAAAATAGTTGAAAGTGGACAGTGAAATGACTAGATAACAACTGTGGAGATTGGTGTCCGAGACATTTGTTTTTTCTTTATATTAGGAGCATACACTGTTTGCAGTTTGTGCAGTGAGGCTGCCTTCATTTTTTTTGTTGTTGTATAATTCAAGATTAACTGTGCTTTACTAGAAATTGCATTTTGTTTTTAAACTGAAAGCTACTACAAACAGAGAGTGCAATCAAAAAAAGTATTTCTTTGCCTGTGGCTTAACATTAAAGGTCCAGATGCTGGAGTGTGAGCTTCTGGGACATGGCACTAGAGTAACTTATGTGCAGACTGTCCTAGATAGTGTCCTAGAAAGAACTATGGCAGCATGTTCTTAGTAGTGACCAGGGCGCTTACATAGTTCAGTATAAAAGAGGGAGAGAGGTGAAAATTACTAAGTTAAACATTGAATATGAATGTTTCTCAGAATTTGGTGAGAAAAGTGAAAAAGTGGTTTTGTGCTACCTATCATGAAGCAGCCTTGTTTCCTTGGCCAGCTGGGAAGCAGAAAACAGCCACATACAGGCTAAAATTCTCTGAAGAATGTGCAATAAATAGATACCTCAAGGGAACACTCCACAGGCTCTCGTCAGTTTAGCAGGTTGAGAAGGAGAAGAATCTTCTTCCAATTTAAGAAATAGTTAGCACCACAGGGCTTGTTTATTTAGTGTGGAGAAAAGTTTAGTAAGTGCTTAAAATAATAAGTCTGCTTGTATAAATCTGTGTAAAAATAAAATGATGTTCACAGATAAAAGGCAATATATTAACTTTGCATTGAAAATTGATATTTACTTTGATAGATTTGGTTTTGGAAGGGAGGATGGCTTTTTTGTTATGTGTTTTGAGTACTTTATAAGTATTAAAGTGTACTGGAAAAGGTGCCAGGTGCACTTGGAGGCTCATCAGAAGTAGTTATTTCTCAACCCCCAGATTGACCTATGGAGGCAGAYAGAGATAGGCAGTATCCAGCCTCAAATGTCTTGAAAACTACTGAAAATGTGCACTGTCCGTAACAGATTGTTAGGGCTCAAGGAAGAAGAAAGGTGTCAGAAAACAGGACCTGTCCTTGTGGTGTGTCAGGTATTGCTGCAAGGCGCAGGGCTCATTTGTTGCCAGTTGCCCAGTTCTGTCTATTTGCACAACTACTGAAATCTGGGACTTGCTGGTTGAGATGTACAATGATGTACAACCCTTGTGCTCTGAAAGCCCGAAGCGTTACTAAACATGGCATCTGTKTTTTGCTTGCAGTGGCTGGGAGAGAAGACCACAGCCTGAGCAAGGGACATAGCTGGACAGCTCAAGATACTGACTTCTGCAAGCTGTGTCTTAGCTAAGAGTTGCCTGGAGATTAAACTTCAAAATGTGTAAACATTTTTCTTTTTCCCTAGTGTTATTAAACCCTAGGGAAATATTTTTTCAGACATGACTTGAGTGTCCTGGAGAGCTATGTCCTTGATAGCAATCCAGGTAAATGGTTAGGAACTAAGGTAATTTAGACCTACTGGTCTCATGTACCTTCAGTCATAACTGTGATCCTTTCACTTGCTCTATACCTTTTTCCTCTTTAAGTTAAAATCTTTACAGTTGTTTCTTTAAGAATGTCTTTGTTAATAACTTTTTAAATGTATTTTTTAAATCTAGATCATCGACAAGGAGATTAATCCTTTTGTGGACAAATGGGAGGAAGAAGGACAGTTCCCAGCACATAAAGTATTTAAAATCCTAGGGCAGGCTGGATTCCTTGGTGTGGATAAGCCAACAGGTAGGAGTGTGTGCAACTCTTGAATATTGATGATGTCAGTGATGGAATTTTTTGACGTTATTTCATTTCATTTTGTCCCAGATCAGAACATGCTTCAGAACTGAATCCAAAGAATTCTTATAGACACAAGTGTTAGACATGCTCTTTACAGACTGTACAACAACAGAAAATGAGTGTACAAGTTGTTATTCTCCTAAAAATAAATATTCTTAAAAAATAAATACTCTTAAAAATGACTGATTGTTATCGAAAGTCAGTGAAATTAATGGCATTTCAAATAATTCATATAATGAGTTTTATTTCCTGTTTCCTTACACGTACTGAATAATCTCAGTCTTCATCAATAATACCACAGTTTGATGGCATTGAAAGCTTTGTATGATTAGACCTATGATACTTAGCCCATCCTCTGTACAGCATTATAATGTATTTTGCCTCACCTTTCAGAGATAAAGCTTTGTAGGGCTTTAGACCATATCCTAAACTGTCTTTAAAATGCTGAAGCTTGCAGCCCACAGAAACATGTACAGAACAAGAAATGATGATATACACAGCAAAACCAGAGAAAGTTGTATGTTTTTATATATATATATGTATATATATATATATTTGTGACGAAGAAGGAAAAAAAATCAGTAAATCTGTGAAAGTAGTAGGAGTTTCAACTCTTCAGCCAAAACACATCCATCGAGTTTTGCTTTGGTTGTTATGTGACATAAGGTATTCTTACTTTATTCCAAATATTACTGTAAGATCTTCCTGCAAGAATTCTGTGTTTTGCTTTTGTTCTGTTTTTTTTTTTTTTTTTTCTTTTTCCTGTTTTCTTATTTGTGGTTAAAAGCCTTAAAACAAAGAAAAATAAAGAAAGCGAGTTTACGTAGACAAGCCTGCAGCAGTCTTCATTAATTCAGAGCAGACAAGTAAAAATGATTCAGTATGTAACTGCAAATAATCATCTTTGCAGGGTAGTTTACACAACCTTAACTAGCCCACACCACATCGTTACGTTGCTAGGGGACTGTGGAACAATTTATGTCTTTTTTATAGTTTCTTTAAGAGGAAATTTTTCATCTTGAAACAAACTTTTAAATTGTTACATATTCTGTCTGGGAAGCTTTTTCTTTAGCTGTTCAGTTGTTCGAGTTCACAGAATTGTTTAGTTGTGGTTGTTTGACAAATCCAATTAAGTCTGAGCTGGTACTTTACAAAAATGCTGACAGTTTGAGATCGCAGCTAAGATTTATTTAAAGGACAAATAGGATTATTAGGTGAAGGAAAAAACACCTCCGCTTTCTTACTATAATTGTTTGATAGGCAGAACTGAAGTATGTCTCAATGGGGTCCTTTACACTGCTATTCATGTTGCTTATAATAACGGTAGATTTTATTGCTGTCAGATTACAGCTTCGTCTTTGTTGTTCTATGCATCTGAGGAGATGCAAAGTCCTCATCTGGGATAAGGAACCTTGTTGTTGGGATTATGTGCATAAAACATTGTGGAGGTGGGACCTTTGTATAACAGTCACAAAGCAGCTAGAACAAGAGATAAACTGAGTGAAATTTCATGAAGAAGGGACTTGCAGAAGCAAAGATGGTCACAGAGGTTTGCGTACACTGATTACGCTTATACCAATGATTAGGAGTATTTTCTTCATATCTTTGACACTTGTATCTTGTTTCCAGTCTAGTTTATTGGATCTCTACAACTGCAGTTTATAAAACCTCTAAAACACTGGATGAAGTTCTCACTGACACTTGTTCCATCCACTTCAGAAAGATATTGTTGGGCACAAGAAGTGTACTAACTCCAGAAAGATTCTGCCTTTGCTGCAGTTGAGCAAGGCAGTGCCCCACTGCCACCTTTCATGGTGTAGTGACAACAGGCACAGCAAAAAATCCTGAAATTTTCCCCAAACCTGTGAAACAGATGTGTAACAGCCTTTATGGGAATTCCTTTGGCAAATGCCTGAAATTTTTAATCCTTCTATGAAGTGCATATGCTTGCTATATAAACAGCGAGTATTTAGCAATAACTTCTTTTACCAAAAAAAAAAAAGACAGATATATCTTTTATACCTTGCCACATTACTTATACTATTTAGTACTATTTAGCCACTATGTATAAAGAAAGGGAGATCCTAGGGAGTTGGAGGAAGCAAATAGCAGCCTRGAGCTTTGGGATGTGTGGGGGGAATTCAAAAGGGAGCTTAATTGGTTTGAGGAAAGTATTCTAGCCCCAGAACAGCTGGAATGGGCAGTGTGCCTACCTCCTCTTTCCAGAACAGACCAAAGTTTTAACTTTATTCTTGTATCGCTCCAAAAAACATTGTCTGTTAGAGAATGGTCTTATATCTTTAAGAGAATTTATTGTAACAGCATCTACAATTTTGAAACAGAAGTTTTTCTGCATTTAATTTCCAAAATCATTCTGTTGAACAACTTTTTCTTTAATACAACTTTTTCTTTTTACTCAGTAGAATTAATTTTGTTATGTTTTGATTGGATAGAAATGGTTAGCAAACTTGTTTTGCTTAGATAGAAGGAAACATCTGCTGGGCTTCAGATCTGTTGAAATTGGATTTGGTTTCCTTTGTAAACACCATTACATTTATGAACAATGAACTGCTTAATGGGAGCCAGTTTTAAAAAAGAGCCTACCTTAACATGTGTGTTATCACTGGAAACTTTCTCTGTGTGAAGAACTGATTGGGGTACTATTCGTGTTGCAAAAGCTGCATCAGTATCCACCATTTGCAGCAGTGGGCTACAAACTTCACAGTATTTTTCCTGTATATTTTTTCTCCAGCTGTTTATGCTTGTACTGGATATTGGCTGTACTGTAGTAGTTCAATATGTTAGTTGAAAGACTTATGTAAAGACCACAACAAGGCTAAGCTTGCATAGATAATTGCTGAATCCTGGATATTAACAATGGATTTAACTTAACTGCACACCTCTGTCAGTCCTCTGATGGGGAAGGCTGTTTACCTTGAAACATGTTTTTCATTTCTGAATTCTGGTATTCCTTAYATGATTCAAAAACTAGATTCAAAAAATACCATTTTCCCATGGAAAAAAAAAAGTATATTATTCTATTAGAAAATTCCTCTTAATAGAAAAATACACGGTAAAAACCTAAGCATCATTAGTGAAYAGAAGATGTCTTTTCACTGCATGCAAAATCTGTTTTATGGAATTTTATATAACCCAACATCTCTATATACTTATTACTCCTAATTTATATTTACTGTGTGTTTCTCCTCAAATTATAAACTTTCTGGGCTAGYGAGCTACTGTCAGTCCCAAAAGTAAGAACAGAAAATATTAGGTTAGGCAACAAAAATATTTTAAACAGCTTTGGAATGTGGCCATTGACCATTTTGCTAAGGGAAGTGGGCAAGACGCATGATTTGGGGTATTTTATTTGCAGTTTAGATGAAATGTTGGAGTAAAAGCTGAGAAGATCCTTGTGGTTCTTTCTGATCTTATGGCTTATGAGTCAAAATCTCAGCTGTTACTTAGTTTTAGGAAACCTAGCTAAAGACACAGGCCTAAAATGCTGTACGAGTACAGATATATGTGCAGATGCAAATGATTATCGGTTGTTTTTATCAGCTGATGCAAAAGTTTGGGAATTTTCCTGTAAAGATTTATTGAAAACAAAGGGGGGTAAAGAGGGGAGATATCTCCTGTGCKGCACATAATGTGCTGCATATAGGATCACTGTGAGACAGTGCATACTGACAATGCATACCCTGCATACTGAACTGGATGAAGTAATGAGCAGTATATTTTGTCACAGAATCACAGAATGGTTGATGTTGGAAGGGACCTCTAGAGATCATCTAGTCCAACCCCCTGCTCCAGCAGGGACACCCAGAGCACGGGGCACAGRGYGGCATCCAGGCGGGTTKGGAAGATCTCCAGACAAGGAGACTCCACAGCCTCCCTGGGCAGCCTGTGCCAGGGCTCTGGCACCCTCACAGGAAAGTTCCTCCTCATATGGAGATGGAACTGCCTGTGTTTTAACTTGTACTCATTACCTCTTGTCCTATCATTGACCCCCTGAGCTCTGCCATCCAGCCAGTAATGAGAATATAGATCTACACTATCCTCTAATGTTAATTTTGTTGTTTTATTCTTGACTACACCTATCTTGTAAGATTGGTTCTTACAGGATTGCTAGTTTGCTAGTGGAAAACCACTTGGAAGATTTTATGTGTATTTGTTTGTTCTTTCTCTGTCTCTCCCTCCCTCTCTCTCTTTTTCCTTCTTCATCCCTCCTCCTCATGAGACTGAGACTTATTATTAGATGGAATAAAGGAAAGAAGGAGCTAGGAAGAAGAGTGAATTCTGTCACTAGAAGAAGATTTATTAGCTCAGATGAAATAGGGTTTTACAGCTTGTCAGAGAGTAAATGAAACAATTTTAAGAGGTTTACATGAATAGAAGCTGAATGGGATATATTTGTCAGAAGAGACTTTGGTTGCCCAGAAACATCTCTTTGCTATGACGGCGAACCAGCTGTAATAGTTGTGTTTAACTATTAGTTGTGTAGGTTTAAACATAGTCAGCTGAACTAATTGCTTAATCTCCGTTTTCACTTACAAAATAATGCAAAGGTTCTTAATAATAAAATAATAATTGTGCCCTAGAAGTTTGGGAGAGGCCATTGTGTGGTGATACCTATGAAACAGTAAATCAGCACTCTGAAATGTTTATGAATTATGAGGTCCACCTGTTCTGCAACCAACAAATAATGTTGATAAATCTTAAAAAAAAATAGAACAAAACTAGTCAGTGTTTTATTTGATACAAATTCCTGAAAAAAAATCATAAAGGATGGCAGTTGTTTGGATACCTGTTTTAGAGTTATGAAATGCTTATCTGACCTTCTTAATTTCATGAATTGGAAAATGTTTTTGTGTGTGTGTGTGTGCGTGTGCATGCATGAATGCTTTATACATATGACATTTTTTCTTTTTTTCTTGTGAAATGTT